GGGCCTGTACCTTAATCGAGTAGGTTTGATGATATAATGATAACACAATAAAGACACGTACATTTAATGTCTTCTCACCCCTTAACTACATAAAGGCCTTGTATTTTATATATTTGTGTTTAGTAAATGAAAAGTTTTGTACCATCTTATGATAACATGAAAAATCAGGTAAACTTATTTTACTAAATTATATAGATTATTTCACAAATGTTGATTATTCACACAGATTAATCACTAAATTTTTTATATAGATTATTTCACAGATGTCAATTATTCACACAGAGATTAATTTCAGCATGGGCTTTTATTTCCTGACAATGTTCTAAAAATATGGGTCTAGTCACTTCTTTATTAATATTTATACAAGAAGAGAATTTTAGGTAACATTTATTCCTTTGAGTTATCTTTCTCATTAGGGAACCTTAAAATAGGAAATAGAACTTAAAGTCCCTGAACTTTTACCAATTTTACTCAAGCTATTCAGTTTGGCAAAGGGATGAGGGACAAATTACAGAGTTCTTCAGGTGCTAAAGTCAATGCAGGCTCATTTGAATAAGGCTCACAGTGCTGGTTCTTTCTATGTATTTTCCTTAGGCATATGCTGTATGAATGGTCATGCAATAATGATAAATAAATCAATAAATAAATAAAATAAAACGGGTTATAATGAGACTTATAAGGTTTAAAATGGGGCTTAATTTTTTGTCAGTGTTGGTTTCTGCTGTGTCTCTAAGTTGTTAAATAAAAAGATTTGCTATTACACACAGATAAGAGTTGCTTCAGTTAAAATTCTATATTCACAGATTTTAAATTCACAAAGGGTAAATTGTTTAGGTAACTGGCTTTATTTATCGGGAATTATAAAATTAAAAAACACAAACAAAAAATAAAAAACGCTTAAGGCGAGATTACCTAACGGCAGAGGAGATACAAATTCTTGGGGGGGGGGGGGGTTGTTAGACACACATTATGCCACAGGCTAGGTTACAATCTGATCCATCGCCTACAATATATTCTTTTTAATAGTATGCGCTTAATCTCATATGGGATTAAGATGCATTAGCCGGTGCATATGTACATGTAGTTTACATTCATGCATTAGCTATCGGGTACAAATACAGGTTACTTCTACAAGTAAAAGCCTTGGTTAACGTCCTTACGCCCCTTGTATACCTCGGAGCCAAGTCAAAAGTATCTCGTCATGAACCTCTAGCATGCTGGAGTAAAATACAGGTTAGCTAGGGGATACAAATACAAATCCACTTGTGTGTTGGAGTTTAAGTTTCATAGTACACATGTACTAAGATTAGATAAACTTCTACAGCATTTTAGGGTATTAGATAAAGGATAGGTTTCCGCTGACTTAGCATATTAATTTTCATGCTCTATATCATATATCGATTTTTCACAGCCTTAAAAAGAATTTTGTAGTCTATATTTTTAATAACCTATTCCACAGCATATTTTTGCAGGGAGGGGGGGGGGGGTTCCCCTTAAAATTCACAAAGTAGGAAGTAAGATCATTCCTTTTTGATGGAGCATCAGCTGGAAGGGGATTAGTCATATGTGCCTTACATATCTGGTGCAGTCCATCTACATTTACAAATGCTTAGGGGTAAATACAAAGTCCCATATTGTGTTTCATGGTTTGCAACGTAATTAGTATATAGAAGATTTCATCAATTTTAAATGGTCCTTGGAAGAGCTTGGTTTCACAAATTAGTGGTACTTGTATAACCTCATTCCTTCAGAACTGGCAAGATACATTAAAATACATGTATCACAAAACATGTTCTGCAGTTAACAAATTGGGAATGTGAACACTTTTAAAATTATTGTCAACAATACAGGTACAGAATAATCATGCTGAAAGGGGAAAGGAGGGGGGTTAAAGAGTATAGGTGCTCATTCATCTTGTTTGTAATCTTTGCAGGAAAGTAATTTACAATTTTTTTTTTTAATCACCTAAAAATAAATAAATAAGAAATAAAATTCAAATGAATAAACAAATAAATTTAAAGAAAAGAAGGGGGGGGGTAAATCTTTAAAACATATTTCCAACATTATTTTCTTACATTAATCCAGTCACTTCTTTCTTGCTGACTCAGTAATATAACTGGATATTAATAATAGAAATAGAGACCCAAAGCAATATAACTTTGAAAGATATAAAATCGGGGGGGGGGGGGGGTAGGCTCGATTAATTTGAAGGGAGACCAGAATTATTTTAATGCAACATAGATCCACAGTGGGTTGGAAATGAGAGAGAGTGATGTCTACGATGGATGGGTTGCTGAGGGTTTTGAGTAGGCTAGGAGTCCATGGTGGGTTATTAAATTGAAGTTGCCTACCCCCACCAGGTGGCGGTGGGCACCTACGGTGCCCATGTGGCGAAATCGTCACCTTCAATTTAACCATTGAACTGTTGATTTTGTTGACTTTTTGTGGTTGATGTTGATATAAATTATGTGATGGTTGATGTTGATATATGTGATGTTGACTTTGAAAATTATACCATGTACAATGTAAATCTAAAGCAAAATAATACCGGTATAATTAAAAAACAATTTGTGTTGAAATGTGTCCGTAGCACGAATGAGGTCAACCCAGCGTGCTACTTTTCCCGTCAGGGAGGGCACAACTTATGTTGATGTTGGGGGTATGCCAGTTTGCCGGCTGCCCCACTGTTGTGTAGACCACTGTGGAAAATACCTGCCAACTCGAATAAAATATTAAACTTAAATACTTAGCATTTGTTTATTATATATAGGTCTTTGATAATACCGCATATTTGAGTTCATCTCAGAATATGCGTCGTTATCAAAGCTCTATCCTCAATATTATATGTCATCATTCACCTCCTTTTTGTGAAAAAACTAATAAATGAGATAAGCCGGAATTTATTTATCCATCTATACATTGTCGGTACTTAGTCACTGGGTTTACGGGTTATCTCCCCTTTTCTATGCATCAATGAAAGTGAAAGGTGGGTGATGAAAGTATCCGTTTTATTTTTTTGTATTATGAAATACCCTCCCACCTCAACCCTTGAGCTAGGTGTTAAGTATATACCCTTTCTCCTTTTGTTTGTTTAAATTACGTTTACATTGTTTTATATGGTTTAGCTATATCCAATTTATTAAAGTTGTGGAAATGTTATTGAGAATCTTTTTCTGCTGTGGGTTTTTTGTTTTTGTCTTTTTAGGTATTAGAGATTTCGGTGAAGGGGACTAACGATGCTGACCAAAATTGCCTGCTATTTCCGTATTCTAGGACTTTTGGAATGATCTCTGGCCGAATACCATGCGTGACAAGGGTCAACTTGGCGAATTATCCATGATTTCGAGTAGTTCGGGGAAAGACAGTAGACTATACTTCACAGTGGTCGTATTGGCGAAATCGTCACCTTCAATTTAACCACTGAACTGTTGATTTTGTTGACTTTTTGTGGTTGATGTTGATATAAATTATGTGATGGTTGATGTTGATATATGTGATGTTGACTTTGAAAATTATACCATGTACAATGTAAATCTAAAGCAAAATAATACCGGTATAATTAAAAAACAATTTGTGTTGAAATGTGTCCGTAGCACGAATGAGGTCAACCCAGCGTGCTACTTTTCCCGTCAGAGAGGGCACAACTTATGTTGATGTTGGGGGTATGCCAGTTTGCCGGCTGCCCCACTGTTGTGTAGACCACTGTGGAAAATACCTGCCAACTCGAATAAAATATTAAACTTAAATACTTAGCATTTGTTTATTATATATAGGTCTTTGATAATAATAGCCGTATCAGATTTTAATATAATATCTAGGCAAGCTGTTACTATGTAATCAACCTATATAATACATATAAAAAGCTTTTAACTTAGAAGTAACAGCAATTTTTTTTACATTAATTGGTGTTATTCTTATCTGGGTTTACAGAAAAAAATATCCCGTGTGAAAGGTAAGTCCATGATTACACCATCAAGTCCTAAGAAATAGTAATAATCAAATAATAGCATCTTTATGTCTGAATTATCGAGTTCTGATACTCAAACTCGTCTTGTTAATATAATAAACACCATGGCTGGAATCAGGTGCCTTGAAGGAATGAGATCTCCTACGACATTACACCGGTCACATCCGTTGTGAGCCCTTTATGTGTATCAGGTAGATGGAATACCCCTAATCAAATTTATTTTTAAATTGATCGTTTTTATAGCATGTTGTGCTCTTGCCTTTCAATAGCTGCATATTATCCGTCCGAATTTTCTCAAGCAGAGAGCTACAGTTCTGCAGCTAGCCTTTCGTGATTATTGCTTCATATACAAGGGATAAACATTGTCGATAGAAAAGAGGAAGTCATTCCGTTTGTCATGCAGTTTAGATATTACCGTAGTTGCTATACTTTACAGGGTTACATAGGCCATCTTCACATGTTTACAATTCTGATATATTACATGTATATGGAATATTTTTTGTACTTTACAGGGTAACATAGGCCATCTTCACATATTTACATTTCTGATATATTACATGTACATGGAATATTTTTATGGCTTGAAAATAAAAAAAAACCTGCATGCAGGGTTTATACCCCAGCTGATTCGATACGCAAGAGTTTGCTAGATCAAATACTTAATAACAAATTCTAAAACGAGGTAAGTTGTTGACAAACAAGTTGATGAAACAGCAACGTCAGCAGTTTGATGTAATCATTTTGTAAGTTCTATGTTCGATTCAATATCTTTTCAGCAAATACAATCTATATTATTCAGTCAAATGCTGACTGACGTTTTTCATACTTATTGTTAGGCCATTATTTACACACTGATTTTCCATTATTTCCCGATCATGTCAAGTGATGGCGAGTGTGAGCGGTCTGATGGCAGGGGATTCACACTCTTCCATGTCACCTGGTTCCGACCATGATATTTTAGAGGTCCGTATAAAAAATTATAAACTTTATTTTACACATTCTTAACTGTTCAGTTCTATTTTGTAATTGTCAGTATGAGCACCACTACTGGAACCTATTCTTTGCTTGTGTCTTTGATGCTGTTGTTTTATACACGGTGTGAGAAAGTATCACCCAGACCAGGACTGAAAACATTCCGGGATGATTACAAGAGTGTGGAAGAGACTTGTCGTTCTGTTGGATTTGTCAGAATAGATTGTAAAGGTAATGAAAGTTTGGAAATTTTTGGACCATCTAAATTTAAACGAGATCATTTTAAAAAAGATTCAAACATTATTTTGTCCCAAGTTTGAAGTTGCACGTCGTAGCCACAGGCATTAAACGTTTTTAACCTTTCTTTTCGTAAATAAAAGAATTCCACATTCATTGATTGGTTACAATATTACTACAGTATTACAGTATGGGATTCTTTCATTGATGAAAAGAAAGGTTAATAACCTAATAACCTAATTATGATGATACAAACACAAGTCAAAAATCTTCGGTTAAAAAAAATCAAAAACGTTTATCACGAACATAAAATTTTAAAACCACAGGTACTTGTGGTCAGGACCCCCCCCCCCCCCCCGATATTCAACCCGGGGGCTTATTTTACATTTTTTTTTTTCACAATTTATATTTAGTACATTTATTCAACATGTTTGCAATAGGAACAAATCGTCAAAACCCCAAAATAATCGCTCCTCAAAAAAATACCCCACTATACATTATAAGAGAGAGATCTCTTATATGTGTTAATTGGAAACTGGAGATTAATACGTCCAAATCAAAAATTCTGGTATTTAATTCTAATGGTAAAACCTTTTTAAACCATTTTACTATTAATGGTATCTGTATTGAAACTGTCGACAAATATTGTTATCTTGGTATAAATCTTAAATGTAATGGCAAATTTAATCTTGCTGCAGCTCGGTTAGTTGATAAAGCCAGAAAAGCATTATTCAAGGTAAAGAAATCCCTCGGTTTACATCATTCCTGTCAATTGCTTGAAAAATTATTTGATACTATGATAATCCCCATTTTGCTTTACGGCAGCGAAGTTTGGGGTATTGACTTAGTCATAAAAAATTCAGGCTCAGCATCTTATGAAAAATTTCATATTAAATTTTTAAAAGAAATCTTAGGAGTTCATTGCAAAACTTCAAATAATGGCTGCTATTCTGAACTCGGGAGACTCCCAGTCAAATCAAAAATTATTATGTTTGCTATCAAATACCTTGATCATTTAATTTCAATGGAACATACATTGGCACATGAAATTTTTATCAAAACTAAAGAAACTAACACATGGTCTATGTGTCTAAAAACTTGTCTTAATAACTTAGGATTTTCTTATTTAACAAAATTTAATATGTCAATGAAACCAGTGCTTGGCATTATTAAACAACGCATTCATGATCAAATATTACAAGTACAAAATGCAAATATAATGAACTCCTCAAAACTGTCTTTTTATCAGAACTTTTGTCTTGATAATAAACGTGCTCATTATGTTGAAAAACTAGAGTCACTACATGATAGATCATTTTTAGCAAAAATTAGGTTAAGTGCACACAACTTAGAAATTGAAAAAGGTAGATATGTTGAAATTAATAAAAATAATAGGATATGTAAAGTATGTCAAAACCTTGATATTGAGGATGAAAAACATTTCATTTTGCTATGTCCAAAATATGAAGCACAGAGAAACATATTCAAAACAAAACTATCTACTTTTCCTAACTTGAACGAAACAATCCATAATAATGACAAATTGTTAAAACTATTGATGAAAACTAGTTGTAAAAAGGTTCTTAAAATATTCTCATCATTTTTATGTCAAATATCTGATATAAGAAAAAATATTTTAGCTATAAATGAGTAACTACATTGAACTGAATCATATGTATGTATTTATATAGTATTTTATGAGTACAATACATAATTTGCTACACCAATTGTTTGTATTCTAGTTGTGTTCTACTGTATTTTCATGCTTATCACTATGTTTTCTATGGGCCTTTACCAATTACTGTAATTGTGTTGGTGCCAATAAAATATTTGTATTTGTATAATGTATAGTGGGGTATTTTTTTGAGGAGCGATTTTTTTGGGGTTTTGACGATTTGTTCCTAGTGCAAACATGTTGAATAAGTGTACTAAATATAAATTGTGAAAAAAATGTAAAATAAGCCCCGGGGTTGAATATCGGGGGGGGGGGGGGGGGGGGGGGGGGGTCCTGTCCACAAGTACCTGTGTTCAAAACGTAATGATACTGACTCTAAATCCCTGCACATGTATCCAGTGTACTCCAATGTTTGATCGTTAAAGAAAACAAATATATGAATGACTAAAGGTTTGTGTTATAAAATCTATTGAGAAGGGGTTGTAGTTATAGTCATGTTTTTTTTTTGAAATACAGAACAAGCGAAAAATGCGGATAAACAGATGGTTGCCTTTGATGTCAGATTAAAGAACCATAAACGAAATCTTGCTACAAAAACAAAGGTCGTGTTCGAATCGGTTGACTTGAACGAAGGACAAGGATACAACGCTTCTACTGGTATCTTCACCGCGCCCTATGGAGGACTGTACGTGTTCGACTGGACTACTCTAGCCTGGCAAGGCCAGGTTGCATTCACTGCTCTCGCAGTAAATAGCTCCTACAAATCTTGGAATCATTGTCATGATATTAACTCCAAAACCTGGCTTCCCTGTAGCAAGATGACGGTTGTAAGGCTGAATCAAGGTGACAAGGTTTGGATTGGGGTCTTCAGTGGACCAGCAAATATGTATCGTCAATACACTTCGTTTTCTGGCTATAAACTATAATGACTGCTGAGTTGAGATTAAAATTAATTAAGGACTGAAATTTGAATAAAATATAATTATATCTATATATATATATATATTAATAGTCGTTTTCATTTCATGTCATTAACACAAAAAAGAAGATTTCATAGAGTCTGACATATAATCTGCATCCTTATTTCTATGTCAAAGTATTATTTTTACGTAAAGTCATTTTCCCCCCTGCAATAATATTTTAATATGCGATTAAGGAATTCCATGTCTTCATCTTTGAATAAATTTTACTCCAATTTTTTGCAAGTCGAAAAAAACTGAGAAAAAGGGCTGTGTTACACGGCACTTTGAAAAAAAATTTCAAAGTGCGTTTAATTTGGGACCAAATCAACGCACTTTGAAAAAATAAAATTTCTTTTCAAAGTGCGTTAATGTTAACCATATTAACGCACATTGAAAAAATGTGTATGGCTTTCACCCATTCTCAATATAAGGGCTCAAATGATGTCGCCTCATTTTCATTTAAAAGAAATACCACTGATGTAATTTTTAAATCAACATTATAAATAGTCATATAACAATGAATAAGAATTCATATAATTATCGATCTGAAAGGGTATTTAAGGAGTTCCAAATTCAAATATAGTAGCCTATTTGAAATGTACGTTACTGTCGCCGAGGCAAATATTATTCTGAATCCCCTCTGTGTAATATATAGTTTTGATTCTCAAGTAAAAATTTTCTGATAAGTTAAACCTTGTATCATATATATTTCTTTTCATAACAATAAATACATTTTCTTTGTGATAATAAATAATTTTTATTGTGCAATGTCCCTGTCGCTTAATTCTATTTCAACCACATTACAAGCAAACACAAAGATTATACACCTGATAGTTTTGTTCTCCTTTATTTATTGATGGGCTAAATTTGAAATTTCAAAGGATTAATTACTCCTACTTAGATAATGTAACATGAAATTGAACAACTTGAGCAACTTTCATAAATATGTTTACGGAATGAAAGACATTTTCAATCGTAGAGATAAGAAAGAAATGTACGTTACCTATATTCTTCCATTAAGAATACATATTAAGTAGAAAATATGAGACGACTCTGAATAAGCAACCCCTTGTATCCTGTAAACTGGCAAAGACGTTTTGCTAAACACAATTAAAAATAATTTTTTTTATGAAAAGTGATCATTTGAAATGTACGTGACTGAAATGTACGTTACCATGAAATTCGAATTAAGTGAATCTCGCACGAATTTTCATGTATTCTAATACTTTCACACACTCGAATGTGTACACAAAGGACAGTTTCAAAGGTTGGAGGTCGGCTAAATCCCAAAATTAATGAAAAGAAACGTCTCTGCTGAGGAAAAAAATATATTAAGGTCAATTATTATGTAATATGATTTTGATACCTGGTATATATTTCTGAATACGAAACCTGTATGATGCATTTCTTATGATATGCAGGTTCAAATAGTATCAATATATTGCGCGTCTAACGTATGATTGTGGAAGAGAATTGATTTTTATATTTGAAATGTACGTTACGTATGGTAACGTACATTTTATGTATTTCTAACTGACATTTTTTTTAATTTAGTCAATGAATTGCGTTTACACGAGCGAAACAAAATTATCGTTACAATCCATTAGACAACTGGCCACATCTAAATGCACCCAAATCCTCGTAAATGTTTTAAACTGTTACCACATGCTAGAAAGTTTCTAAGTGTCTTAAATTCATCTTTGGCAATCTTTTTGCAGTTTGTTTACTTTTCATGTGCGACTTTTCGTCAATATTAATTGAATTGTTGTTGATAATTTAAAACAAGGTATGCATAGGCTTATAATTGGTAATAAAAACAAAAAACAAAACAAAACAAAAAAGAAAAGAAAAAGAAACAAAACAAATAAACCCAGAACACAAGACGGTCACGTAGATTTCAAATACTGAATACTCAGTTTTGTTTGAATCATTGCATTTTGGGTTATATTTTTCCAGATCTGCTAAAAAGCACATATGTTTGTGTTTTGAAAAACGATGTTGCAACATACTAAATGAAATTGTTAACAAGACTGTCGATGGATATATTCGGAATAGATTTATGTTAAGTTTCAATGGCCAAACACGAACATTTGTTAGATCATAGCAAAATACATCTGACTCATATTTTTTTGTCTGTAACCTTGCACACAGTTAGAAGTAACTAGGCTACGACCGATGTCAATTTCAGCGAAACAGCACAAAAGAATGGTTATGAACTGAGGTGGAGGGGACTCCCCAATAATATGTGAAATGAACGTTACCGAAGTGATGTGACATTCTTGTAGCTGATGACAATAACCTCGTTTGTTACATTATGATTTCTTATATTACTGCATTAAAACGCTTCATTGATATGATTTTTATGTCAAAAATTGCTTTTTTTCCCAATATTTTCATATTACTAATTTACATATTATTACAAGCTTGAAATGTACGTTACCTACTCATATTCTGAGGCAATCGTGTCTTCATAGTGGTGATTGTGACATATAACACAATGTGATTACATAGAGAATCTTTTTTGGAATAAACTGAAACAAAACGATGAATTTTTAGATGAATTTTAGATGAATTTTAAGCTTTTTATTAAACAGAAATATATCTTGAAATGTACGTTACATTTACATAGTTTTCTAAATCGGCATGGATATATGTTAAAAAAGACAGTAACTACAAAATAGAATTTTACTACATGTACATGTTAGGTTCCAGTATCTATTAAAAATGACAAGATTCCAAACTGTTCGCTCTTAACAAAACAGAGAGAAGAATTTAAAGCATATATTTAAAAAATGTTTTTACACATCTGGATCAAAAAGTAACCTTTGTTTTTTGAAAGGAAAAATCAAACGCACGTTCGTATGCCGAGAAAATAGGTTGCTGACAGAGTTGGTAGGATGTGCTGGTGTTAAGATGAGATATTCCAATTGTGATTTTAATGACTACATTTTTTTTGACATATTTTTTTGGACATTGAAGAAAGAGTAACGTACATTTCAAGCTACATTTCTGAATAAAATTACCCTCTACTTTATCGTCTTGTAATTATTTCATATATTATAATTTGATGAAAAAAATCTGGAAACAAAATCTTCTGATATTTTCTTTCAAAAGTAATTGATAGAAAAATTTTTATCTTGAACTTCATTTTTTTAAAAAATCAGAGAGGCATTTGTGCCCTTATATTGAGAATGGGTGTTTGTCAATATTCTTGAAAATCGTAGGTATGATAGATAATTGAATCTTTTTGATAACTCTTCGGTGTTGAGGTTACGTCAGAATGTGAAAGTGAGCGATTTTGATTTTTCTATGCTTTGAAAATTCTTTCTTTCTTAAATGATTTACTGTAGTTATTTTTACCAGTTTGCATGCATTTTATGTAAACTAAATTTATTGAGACTTTTCAACGTCATACCTGTTATGCAAATGCATATATTTGTGTGTAAAATAGGCATCGATACCGGAAAGGGGGGGGGGCTTAGGCACACAAATATTTTGCAAAGATATACATACATGTATTATAGGCATTGAAAATTGGGCTTACCTTGGGGAGGGTGGGGGGTTTGGGTGTCACTTTCACTTTGCTACCGACGGCAATCTACAATGTATAAGAAAAAAAAAGGGCTAAGAGACCTTCTTCTCGCCTTCTCCTTGTTCTCAATGAGGTTGAATGAGTACATGTAAATTACAAAGGTTTTCGAAAGATATAATTATTACAAATTGATTCTCTCAATTACTAAATTCTATAAGTCTAGAATCTTTTATTTTATACATATTTTTTTTCAAAGTGCGTAATAAGTCCCCGTGGTAAAAAATGTTTATGTACACTCTTAACGCACTTTGAAAAAAATAATTTCAAAGTGCGTTGAGTGTGTCCCAAATTTAACACACTTTGAAAATTTTTTTCAAAGTGCATTGATTTTGTCCCAATTTTAACGCACTTTGAAAAAAAATTCAAAGTGCGTAGCCACAGGGCTGTGATAAAAGGCTGTAAAAGATTGAATTGCTGCGTGCATGTGCGTGTCATATGTGCGTGTTAAGAAATACATGTAAGATAACTTAATAATCCGAGAATAGTTTTCTAGGGTCTTATTGATAAATATATGCAGTGTGATAAACAAATTACATAAGTTTATGTAGTTCAGTTCTTATACCTTTTTATATGGAAAAAATAATGACAAACTAATGACCATTAAAAACGTTATTTGAAAAAAAATCGTAATCGTAAAAATATTTACGCACAACAAACTAAAACATAACAGTAGAATTAAAGATAACCTAGAACTGATTAAACTTAAGGTTGATTTTTGACGCTAAACTTTATTGAACATTCAAACATTGTCCAGCAAATGTTTAGTACAATTAAAAAAAATATCACACACAATTTACTGTTAATATTATAGATGTCATTACATGATCGAGAAACTGTAGTTTGATATTAATAAAAAGAAAGTAGATCGGTTTCTAAATGATAAAAATTCAAAATAAATTTAATGATTTAAATAAGAATTAAGTCTATAATAGTTCATCAAAGTCCAAAGCCATGCCTGCATACCTTCAAAATCTGTTCATTGTCAGTCACACAAAGAACCATACACAGTATGAAATAAATATATATATATATAGTATATAAATAAATATATTAGCAAAATATATACACAGTATACAATTAGAAATATATGAACAAATTAGACATGGTATATAATAGTTAATTAAAATATATACGTAAAGTATATATACGCATATTAAAAATCATACATTGTATGTATGCTATAGATGTGTAGACGTCAACATGTATATAAATTGCAGCATTTCTCTGTCTACAAAGTCAGCTTTGCAAACAAACGATCGAACAAGTCGATTTAACATTCCATCATCCCCACTGGAAGCAATCAATAAATTATGAATAAATACATGTAATAGTAAAGACAAGTTTTACTGAATGGAAAATGAAACAATTTATCGGTTATTGAAAACAGATTGTATAATATAC